AAAAACAAAACAAACACAGAAAACAAACAGTTTTATCAATTGGTAAAGTTGAGCAAACTCAATGAAACAGTGTTCTTTCTTTAAGGAACACTGGAGGAACCACAGAGGATAGAATGTGAACCCCACCATGAGAACAAGACTTTGAAATGAGCGGAAAAGTTGACAACCTAAAACCACATGGTGGGTAGTGCCCCACCACCCCTGAGTGAAATCTTTTTTGTTGTTTAAAAATAAGGTCTAAGCACCTTTAGTTACCACAGAACACCACTTTTGCCATTTCTTCTCAATCCAAACAGCGTCTTGGATTGTGACAGGCACACCACAAGTTTTTAAAGTGCGCTTGCTCCCTCGAGACGATTCTTTCACTCAATTTCCACAAACATCAAGTTCCATTTAAAAAACAAAACAAACAAACTGCTCACAGAAATTACATTTTGTCATGCAAAACAATTCGTTGCATATTGAAATTTCTTTTTGGGACCACTCCTTTTACTTATGATAATCTCGGACCTTGCAGCAAGTGTGGTTATTTAAGAAAAAATAATAATAAAAATCGTCTTCAGGTGACAAAGATTACACAGAATCAGTCAAGTGCCCGTTTTTCCCCAGACACCTACATTAGAAATATGTTATTGGTGCTACTTTAAATAACCTGAAGAAATGCCACCTTGGTCCCCAACAGGCCTGTCATAGAGAGGTTTGCAGTTGACATCAAAAAGACAGGTTTGATTGCTACTCTTGAAGACCAAAGTCAGCGAAAAGCTGTACTCAAAAACATTTCTTTAGCTAATACAGCTTCCTAATATTCTTGTGTATTTTGTGCATTGTTGATGCATTTATCCAGTAGAGACTGGGAAGAAGAAAAAAATCACTTTTGAGCAATGATCATTAAACAGGTTTAAATCCTGCCAAACTCAAGAAGTAATACTGCAATCATTTCTGCTTGGACAGAGAGAGAGAGAAAGGACAAGACTATCAGGAAAGTATCGAGCCTCTGCGGGCTGATCTGAAGTTTGGATCTTAGCCATCATCATTTCAACCCACCGCCGATTCGGAATATAAGAACCATTTGAAGAGAAGTACCCGAAAGTGACTGGATTTAAAAGGCGGATAGACACCACTGCTGATTGAGGGCTAAATAACAGACAAAAAACATCATTCCATCATCACTCATGCAAAAGACGTGTGCATCTTTGGCTATGCATAGCACTACGTCGAGAGAGGTGCAATCATCGGCACTACAGCAGGCTAATGCTTTAAGCCCTGTTCAAGAATGCATGCTCAGAAAGAAGAGGACAACGTAAATTCACAGATGTGGAACAGTTGCTGCCAGAAGCGTGCCTATCGACTTGACTAATGTGGCACCTCGATAAGATAGAGTCGTTTGGCTTTGGTTCAAACAGACACTGCAACCAGGCAGTGCGTGTACACGTTTTTGGCTCGGCTCTATGTGACTGGGTCGCAGCATGTCCTTTTGTTTTGCTGTGTTGTTTACTGCACTTGGAGGAAATATAGCCCTTCAAGTCAACAAGTTGTGTCTGAAATTGCACATGTTGGCCACTCTTCTTTTGCGCAGGCCACGTCGAGACCAAAGTCTGAGTACGTTAAAGTTCCCTGGCTGGTTCTGCTGGGAAGAGGCAGAAATGATCTTCCGATCATGAGTCAACCAATCTCTCCTTAAGTTGCTGATTGTTATGTGTCTTGTTGGTACCTGTGAAAAGAAAGAGAAACAGTGCGTTAAGCTACACCTACTCCTGGAATTACATTTGTTTGCTCGGCTGCAATATTAACTTCGTCTTTCTTCGAGCAAACTTGTGATCAAAATGTAAATGACTGAATTCCCAACATTCCCTCTGCAAACAGTTTGAAATTGTTGATAAATGCAAAGATGGGAGCATTATTGTCCTTCAAGCAGATCAGCAGCATGTTTCAGGGTAATTGAATGCAACTACTTTATACTGGTTCGGGTCCACTGGTCCCCTCAAAAGAAACAGTCAGCGGAAACCGCGCTTCTGAGTGATCACCTCTGATAAAACAACTATTCTGATGTGATGTACTAAAGTTTTCAGTCATGATCTATACTTTTGCAAACGCTTGGCTGAAGATCACACACAAATTTCTATACATAAAGACACTCCCAACATCTGACTAAACAGGCAGTGGCCCAGGATAAGTCAGATTTTCCTAGACTATAATACATGTTTCCACCCTTTCTCCCCCTCGTCTACAGGATCGGAGCCAAATGAGCAGGAAAAAACGATGCAAATTTTTCTCTCTCTCATCTCCTGTGTCAAGCTACAACCCTCTTCTGCAAACATGCCAACACACAATATTTAAAAGAAAAATAATCAAGGAGACATTTTACCTGCTCTGGAAGTTGAATTCAGGCAGAGCGCCCAGGGACGTCAGCTGTTCCTCCAGGGCCACGATACGTAAACCGATGTAGCCCGAAGACAGCAGCAGCAGCACCACCCTACAACATATAATATAAGTCAGATTCACTGCCTGAGTGTCAAAGAATCAAATGCAGACCTTTCCATAGATTCAACCAACAGCCGCTCAAACAAAACAGACTAAATAGCCAATTCCAAAGTGATGCTAGAGCTAATGCATTCTTATAAAATATGTAATATTATTAAAAACAGACTGAAAATTTTGTTTCTTAACAATTGTCCCATTTAACAAACTAATAAATCACATAAATAGTTGACAAGTTAATCTTGTAGAATGTACCAACAAAAGTATCTGCTTTAGAACCACTTTTTACTTTTTCGCCCCTCAAATTGAGAATTCGGGAGTGAAATGCAAGTTCAGATAAAGTCATAAGGATAAAGACAGCTGGGGGAGAAGGATCTACTCACAAAATCAAGTAAATGAAGAGCAGAGTGTTGAGGTTGCTGGCCTCTCTCTGAACCACCAGGGACTTGGCTTTTTCAGTCACATTCCACACCCATGATCCACCTAAAACAAAATATAATAATTTAACACCAATTTTTTCCATATCCTACCAGCATAGGCAAAACTAATGCCAGTAACTAGTGTTAACTGGCCATGTGTTGCTTACCTGACACAGACAGCTCTTCTGTAGATGAACTTTCACTCTGCTGCATACGTAGGCTCTTCAGAGAGGAACCATTTACATTAGGCACTGCCTCTGTAAGCAGGAGAAGCAAGAGAGGGGAAGTTAGACTTGTTTCTGATCGAGATGGTAAACGTGCAAAGTTCAAGGTCTGATAGGAGAAGAGTAGATAACGCTATCAACACGCAGCACTGTCAGCTGAGGTCTTGCAGCATTTTCAAGTTCTTTTACGAAACGCTACAAGTTACTAACAAGTAACAACAATAATGCATTAAAAAAAACAAAAACAAAAGACAGCTCAACGCTTAGAGGTGGTGCTGAATTTTCACCTGTATGCAGTCTATGCAGAGGGCGGTCCTCTTGTAAAGTCTGAGACTTGGAGCCATTGAATTGGTCGAAGCTATCGTCCAGACTGGACTGGCTGGAGTTCTGTCAGTAAGATGAACACAGAACAAAAACCATCAGTACAAAAAAAAAAAAACAGAGCGGGAGAAAAAACAAAAAAAACAATCATGGTTTTAAAATGCAGAAAAGAGTTACTCACCACAAGTTTGTTCTTATCAAAGCTGTTTTCAGCTGAGGAGAAGAGAGGGCTACTGTTTGCACTGACATCCTGAAACAGAGGCATTAAAAAAAACAAACAAAGAAAAAAAACTATTAAGTTGTCATTCATGGAGTTGATATTCTGCACGCTCTGAAAAGGTTTATTTAAACTTGTAGATGCAACAGCATGGCTGGAAAAGCACATTCGTTGCAAGACTTCCAAGAAGTCAACAGTGACACGGTCTAGTTTTACAATATTGTGATCCATTGCAGAAATTTAGATTTCTTTTGTGACCTCAGCCACTCACCTCTAGCTGAGGACAGACTGAACGCAGCAGCTGAAAACACGACTCTCTATTCCGCAGAGCCACAAAGAGGTACTGCACAATGGGAGGGAATATAAAGAAAACAAAACGAACATTAGCCATCTGCACAACATAAAAGGTCACCCAGCCACTGACTACATTACATATAAATCAGAGTTCAAAGCTAACGTTTCACTTTGACTGCACACACTGTGTAGGCTCAATAAGTGTTAACTAAAGATTGTGTGAGGATAAAGGTGAGAAACAGACCTTATCTCCCTCTGTGGTGCGAATTGACAAGGCGTTGGGTACCAGCAAAGCTGTATTCTGCTTTTTCACTCTTTTAATGCAGGAAACTGGAACCACTACCTGCAAAGGCACACGAACACACACAAAGAAAAGGTCAGACTTGCGTCAGACGAATCCCACAACGAGCTAAAAAGAATGATGGGCGAGGTCTGAGCTGAGAAATACCTTCGTATCCTTAAGCAAAACAGAGGAAAAGAAACAAGCATGCGTGTCAGTGATGTATAGCCGACCATGGTAGGGCACCTCCTTCTGCAGGGCGCAGATGTACGCTGGGGGAGGAGTGCAGAACCGTTCAGTTTTATACAGCTTGTTCTTTTTTTAAAAACTTTGATTCTTCATTTAATAAATTTTTTAAAAACTTACCATGAATCAAGTCTTCACTCTCGGGAATGTCTGGAAACAACTTGTGAAATGTTTTGTTGTGCTTTTTAAAACTCTGAAAGAATAAAATTGGATTGTTATTAAATGAAAGTGAAATACTTTCTTCATCAGTTTGCTTTTAAAGCTGAGGTGGACTTACACTTTGTGAGCCAGTGCCCTCGGTCTTCTTAAAGTCTTTGCTGTCGACGTCAAAAGTTTGCGCCCTGAGGAGAACATGAAATAAGAGTGATTAAGGAATGACCAAAAAGGAAATGAACACAACATTTTCCCGCATGAACCATATCACCTGACTTTTTCCGCGATTACAAGGCTCATGTGAAGCTGCCCTGATAGGTCCTGCGCCAAATGAGCAGGAAAAATATGCAAACCTCTCTCTGCCATGTTTATATTTCTTGAATTGCAGCCTGTCTTTGACTGCCACACAAACACACACAGCACTACATAGCAGGGAAGCAGTGACGGAGTTAGAAAGAAAGTAAAGATGACGACAATTACTTTATTTAAATGTAAAACATTAACAATTACTTTGTTAGGAAACCTGTTCAACAACCTTAAAAATGTTGACAAGTGATATTTTCACCTGCTCCCACACACCGTTGGTATGTTTTCCACAAGCACAGCACTCGTATCTTCAAATTTGTCACATTCTTTTAATCTTTAGCTACAAGGTAATGCAATGACTGAGATTTAACACTCCATCTGAACTACTAAAACGCTTATTTATAGGATAATCTATAAATGGGTAAAGCTGCCGATACGGTTATAAAAAACAAAAACAAATCAGCATTTGAATATCTTTGAATGTTCACTATGCCCACACAACTAGACAAAAGAAATAAGACTGAATCATCAGGAATCAAACTCATCTCCACGCTCATGCATTTGAATCATGTGAGAAACCAGCCTACATGGGGTGTGTGGTCATGTGTGCATGATGCCTGAGGGGGGTCAGGTCTTGTGATATGTGTTCTCAATGAGAGAATCCACATAACATCAGCTGTGTAACCGTAAGCACCTCCAAGCAGTGAAATACTGTTAATTCATTATGGAGTTTTATTTTTTCACCCATTTAAAATGTTCATCTCTTTACTAAAACAAATGTGAGATTAAAACAATTTCTTGCTCTACCAAATTTAACTGATCTGAATAACAGAGTACACACAAACGTGGCTCTTTGGGAAAGTTTTAATTCAACACATTAAGCCACCGTATTAAATTAAGAAGAATTACACGTTTATTTATTTATTTTTTTAAATAGTAAAGTAAATTTAAAGGTTCAAGTTCAATCTTCTACTCCTCCGTGGTGGTGTAGAGACAAAATAACAAAACGAGTGTCACTTTCCAAAATTTGCATCAGGCTGTTATTAACCGTCACAGAATCCACGTTTTTGGCTTTTGTGTAATTGAACTGTGTCCCCATGAAGCCTACCTGACAGGTGCTTGTCTGGTCAGGGTTTTGTGCTGTTGCTCGATCTCGAGCTGGGCCGCCTCTAAACTCAAAGCTTTCCTCGCGTCCACCTTCTTGATGCTGCCATTGCTTAAGGTGCTCTTGCTTTTCCTTACTTTGGCTGGCAGCCCACCACTGCTGCTCTCTACGGGGTAGCTGCAACAAATAAAAGGGGGGGGGAAAAAAATTACAAAATGAGCCACTTTAGGTTTTAGAAAGACATTCACATGTACGCAAACAATTTAGAAAGTCTCCAAGTAGACGATGACTTTTCACAGTGCAAATGCGAGTGACTCTGCTTTTGTTGGACACAAAAAGTAAGTCCGAGCATCCACTGATAGCACCTCAACATGCATTCAAAAATAGTTGCACCAATCTACCGCAGCCATTTAAAAAACAGAACATCTTACCACAGGATGGCAAATGAGAAAACCACTAAAAAACAGCACAGGGAAACAAAACTCAAACATCTACCATCAAAACACAGGTCAGTTAAACACTGCCAATATGTTAACATGACATTTTTGCTCTACATCAACTTTGAGTGTTTTAAGCCTCTCTTTAAAAACAAAGAAACAACAACAAAAAAAACACAACCCCAAATCACTTATCCCTTTCCACTAAAGTCAGCTGTAATGCATTGATGTATCTGACATCTTTGTCAAACGATGCCCAAACTTTGTGATGTGCTGGCATCGGCTACCCAATCCAAAAGAAAAGGTTTTATTGATAACATTGCATCAGAGCTCAGTAGACCGGAAGCACCTGACTGCTTTACGATCTGATCGACGTAGGTTCATGCTCTCAACCTGACAAGCCTCTGCAAATATACCATTTCAATAAAGAGTCTTGTAAAAAAAAAAGAAGAAGATTACAAGTGTCTCTATAGTCCATATGCTCTGTAAGAAACCATGGCCTGTCCTTGACAAGGAACTAACAAAACAGAGTCACAGGATAAGACAGTGGAATGATTACAACATCCTGAAATCCCTAAAACACATAGTGAACATTACATAAGACAGTGTCAAGCCTGCATTTCTTGTTCAAAGACAACAACACCACACAAATTAACTCTGAACTTCCACTCACCTGGTGAATTTAAATCGCTTTGATGAACGAAAAGTCATATACCTACTGACAGTAGGCATTTCCTATCCTAATAAATAAACAATAATTTAAAAAAATTATGTCTAGTTGCTTTTTCTAAAAAGCCTGCGTACAGGCCTCAAAACAGAAAAGGTAACTAAGAACTAAACAAATATTAACACTCCCCCCCTCCCAGAAAAATCTTTAAAATCCTCTTGACATTATGCATGTAGTTCCAGTTAAGTTGTCGTACATAAGGCCTCTTTACCACATCCTTCTACAGGGGAAAAAAAAGAAAAAAAACCCACCCTGTTGCTCACTTGCTGTATGAATGTGCTAGCAAAGAGGAAGCTGTTTCTATATGAGAATGGTGTGACACTCCGTAGTGTGTGACGTCAAACCTAACCACACCCCCAGAACAAAACAAATACAGGCAAGAGCACACACAGTCCCTCCTCTTTCTAATGTACACACATGCGCGCCATTGCCTGTGCCGTCTTCTGATATGAAACGAAACATACAAAACAAATCCACAGATCAAAAACATCAAACTCAAAATCAGACAAGGAGAAAGATCAGCCAATAATTAACAGCCATGTGTATGACAGTGAAGGTGAAATTCTTGTGAAGTGAAAACACTAGCCCTTCTAGAAAGTGGTGCATTATCCATCTCCCCCTTCAGTCAGTGAATCTAACCACAGAGGAAATAACAAACCAAATAACAAAAGTTTACATTTTCTGTTAAAAGTAAGGAAATCACCCAACTGTACCGACAGTATAATACGCTGGCTTCTCTAACAGCGTCAGCCATTTCTGTGCTGTAATGATTTATTTTCAGCATGACCTTTTAGTAGGGCAAAGGTGAAGAAACAAAGAACATGAATGCAACTGCAGTTACCTGCCCTGTTATGCAACGCAATACAATCAAGCAAGAGTGGATAACATTTCAGCATCTATGTGAATGTCCAGTTTTTAATCATTTATGTAAAACCCATTTTCAGTCAATTGTAGTTGCACAAACTTTATTCTAGAAACGTATTTTTATTGCATATTTAAAACTATATAAAACCTCTTTAAAACATTTACCAAAGATTTGGAAACTGTGGGCAAGTAAGCTGTGGCTGTTACTTGAAGAAGGGTGCGTGCTGTCACAACAATTTCAGAATCGGGCCTGAACTGCTGGTCAGGTATTCAAATATGCTCACCTGACCCTTTCCTACTTGGCAGACATTAAAGCAGCAAAGCAATATAGGCATGATTGAAATACTACTAGCTTGTTTGACATTCTTACCTACTTCCTCTATTTAGAGCTAAGCAAAACCATTAAGGTTAAAGCCGTTTCCTCTAAGTCAGGAAGCCACAAACACCCGTACATTTCAACAGTGCAGCCTATCTGAAAATTAAACTCCTGTGATATTTTCATTGTCAAGCCATTACATTAGTTTCTTAACATATCTTCCAAAAACACTGATAATGTCAATGTGCTGGCAAATTAAGAGAGTAATTAAAAAATAATCATCTAAAAATAAAAATAATTCATGTTTGCGTGACAGAAGTTTTATCTCAAGATTATCAATGAGGCCTCAATAGAAGAAACTTGCTCAATGGTGTATAAAAACGCCAAGGCCAAAGCAATCAAGGCTAGTGAGTCAGTACCCAGTGTTTAAAAAAAAAAAAAGTAATGAAATGAGCAATGTGGGGAAGAAATGATGAAACACCCATGTCCTGCACAAGCTGCAACAGAGGCATTTCTAAATTTCAAAGGCAGTGGTGTTCAGTTATGCGCATGTGCTGAATTAATTAGACTAAGGTGCTGACATCTGACCTACTTTCTTGTTCAAGTAACAAATTACAACTTTTTAGTCTAGTTTTAGTATCACTCGTGATATTTCACTGCCAAAGATGATCTTTTTTTAGATAAAGTTATGGAGGTATGTTATTCATTAGAACTCACTGTAGAGTACAATATGTGAAAGAAAAGATTCTGTACAAAGAGAAATGTGATATACCTCATCATCGAACAAAGACTGCCGACAGATCTCTTTCTTTATCTGCATTTTTTTCTATACTCCCATCTTTAACCAGACAAAGAGCCAACATTAGAGGTCTCAGTGGTTACTAGCTAACAAATCTGAATACACTGACAAAACAAAGAAGTTAAAAACTGCTTCGGGAAGGTGGATCATCAAAAAAAATAATATAGAGTATGACAAAGATCTCTGCAGTTTGACACTAAAAGAAAGTTGCGTATGGCTAGAGCAAGTTCTGCTTTACCCGACTGGCTGAGATCAGTAAGCAGACTCGATCGTTCGTCTTACCTTTTCACATCTTCCGAGCAATGAGAATCCACAGGACCCGGCTGGTTCAACAAGACTTTTGGTCTTTCCATGACCAACTAAATTCTCCCTTCTAGTCTTCAACAGTCCCTGAAACCTTGTAGACACCTCTGGCCAAGACAGGCGACTATAACAATGGCAATACCTTTTGAACTTGGACCTAGGTGAGTTAGGAGCCAAATCAGAAGCCAGGGACTAAAGGTCTTTTTAATGGCTTAAAGCATGTGCTAGTTCAACATGAAGACAAAAACACCAGATCCAGAAACACGCAGCAGGACAGGAGATGGGAAACAGAAGAATGAACACAGTAAACTAAAAAACAAAAACAAAAAACAAAGGTCATTTGATTTCAAACCCCCAAATCTCCTCCCAAGCTCTCTCCTTTCTAATGCAGCTTTAGTATGCGTTGTCAGGGAAACAAGTAACAGTGGGAGGTAGTTGATAAAAATGTGGAGGCTGAGGGAAACAGTGCCGGGTTATTCTTAGTTCGCATAGGCAAACATCAAAATTCAATAGCCTGTTCTCAATAACAATGGGGCCGTGACTTCAGAAGCAGCCGACAATATGACATGCACGCATGACAATAGCCTTTGTAGACTATGTGAACAGGGCCATCAATGATCAATGTAAGGACATTTGTGTTAGAGGGGGGGGGTCCTCAAAAGCTGTTGACAACACACAAATTAAAAAAAAAAAAAAAAAAAAGGTGGAGTGCTGTAAATGTAGTGAAGCCTGGTTACATTCGCATATCTCAGCCTAGGGTGTTTATTCATCTATAGACTATTTCTATACCCATGACATCAACATCACTGAGAAAGATGACATCCAGCTGGCCATGTGACTTCAGGCCTAATTTACTCACAATACAAAAAAAAAAAAAAAAAAAAGGAAATAAAAGGAAACCACTCCTTCCTTTCTAAATATTGGTTGCAACAGTTTCAATAGGAGCTCCCGGAGCAGAGCTATAGGATGACACATTCTAGAACAGCATGCATTTACCTAATGGAGGCAATTACGCTCCTACTTTACAGTACCAGTAATTCCCATTTCGTAATGACTTCTCTTCATTGTCACCTGGACTACTTTTAGCTGCTCCATCGTTCACCACAGCAGGTAGATCATGCCTGATCTGGCAGATTTTTATGCTGGATGACCTTCTTGATGCCACCCCAAAGTGTTTTGTGTCTCATCCCAAGATCAAGACGGGTATTTTCTGCTTATTAGGCAAATGCATATCTCAATAAATTTAAGTTCCTTAGTAATATTTTTAGAGTTAATGTCCTTACTTTATCAACTGTCTCTTTTATATCAGAATGACAGAGGGTTGACTAAACATGCCCTGGATATAAACAGTGCAAAGGCGTTCCACTGACGTTCAGCTGGTCAGTGGGCCACTGTTTCCCCCTTATCCCTGCTTTTTAAAACTCCTGATACACTGTACAACATCACACAACAAACCCCTTACACAACAACCTTAATCAAGTTATTTAAAAGCTACACAAAGCCAACACCTACACCCCCACAGCAGGAGATCTGGCTGTTAATCCCCTGATGTCTCAATTTGTCCCAGTGACAAAAAAGGAAAAGCCACTTTTATTACCTGGCCTGTTAGAATTTTACTGAACATGATGACAATAGAATGCATGTTTGCATCATAAGAATATTAAGAGAACCAAAAATCAAGAGTTGTGCCACTTTACTGCATTGTTCAGCCTAGGTTTCAGCAAAAGATCACCTTTCACACTGTTTGTAAGGTGGTGAACTGCCATTTATTCTCTCGCCTGTGAAAGAAATGCTTTTCAGTATAATAGTCATACAAATGTGATTACCAGTGAATTCTAGTGTGGTGAAGACCAATTTCTCCAGTACAGGACATTCCAGTCATTAAAAGTACTCTTTGGGGTATACACTGCTTTCATTCACTACCCTGAGATGATCCCGAGAGTTTAGCTTCAGACGTCAAGCCAGCGTCAGCTGGTCTGCAGGGACAGTTGCCTTAAGACAAAATTGCTTTAGTACAGAATGCATTTCCACAACCAACACGCAGCCCAAAGTTTACAAGTGAGGCTTGGGGAAGCATTACATGTGTGAATCTCTCAAAGATCAGAATAATTGAGAATATTGAGAACAATTAGAAACACAAAGTGTAAGAGCACCATCTTCTGGAGACCCATGGATCTGTTTTTGTTTTTTTAAATACAAATGTGACCTACTCTTTCTCCAGCAACCAACAGAACAAGTTCAATAAAAGCACAAGAGATTATTGCAACTGTGTTCGGTGAACCATGTCATTTGACAGCCATAATCTTTTATAATCCACCAAAGCTAGTATGCAACAAACAAATTCATCTCAACTACTTTATGACAACATTGTTAAATTTTTAACCAAAAAGTGAACAAAAAATGAAAAAACAAAACAAAAACAAAAAACCAACAACTTTAAGACATAATATCACAGATGACCTTAATAATATTGTCGGCTGGACTGAAAAAGCATAATGCGTCTGCTTGCATACGTGCATGTCTGTGAGCGTCAGTAGAGTACCCAGGAAGGGCAGGGAAGCAAGCCAGTGGACATGGCAAAATTTCAGACTCTGTGGCACCCTGCCAGTACTCAGTCTGTTGAAAAAGTGTGTGTGTGTGTGTGCGCAAACTAGAACAGAGAGCATTACAGGATAAATGTGTGTTTCTCTGTGGGGAATCACGTGGCCCTGTGCACACAGCATCTCTCCCCACTTCCTCCTGTGCAAACCAGGCAAAGACAGAGAGGTTCTTTCTTCAAGGCAACAGAGTGCTCACAGTGTCCCGGCAGGTGAGCAGGGAGAATAATGTGCTGGGGTTTTTTTTTTTCTTTTTCTTTTTTAAAGTCCCACTCAACATTACGAATACAATAAGTGCAAACATATGAAGGATTGCAATAAATTAATTTAGATGTCACACTGCATAAACCCGACCCTTTTCTACATTTCGTTTCAGACACACATCTCATTATCTGACCGCATCTGCAAGTTTTACAAATCTTCTCTCAAACTTTCCTAAGCTAGCTTTCTGTGTGACTATCACGGTGTGTCTGAATAAAGCCATAGGAAACATTCATGTAAAACATGTTTTCGCGTGAAGGATAGAATTCATTTCACTGCAGAGCAAGAAGTGTAGTTGAGTGAAAACTTTCCCCACACATCCACTTCACTTGTGTGGGATGTTAATTTATGCTGATGGTTGCACAAGGATATGTTCCGTTTTAAAAATTCTTTAAGCCACCTAGCCGGATCTAATGTTTGTCTAAAAGGCAGGTTGCTTTTGTGGCAGTCTTTGATGTAATTCACCTCTCTCGAGTTTCACACCCTGCTGTTGAACAGGCCACAACTCCACCAGCTTGGACTAGAGGTAAGACCTTGTTCTGCTCTGCAGCAGGTGGAGAGCTGCTGGTGACACAGTGAGCTCACGGAGAATGCAGAAGAGAACTAACATCACCAATTGCAGTCTAAGACAGTGGCCAACAGGGTAATTATTAGGGCAGGGCGATATGGCCAAAAATATATATCACGATATATATTTGAAAATTTGCGATAACGATATAACTGACGATATAATTTCTGCGAGACAAAATACAACTCCACAACTTTACTAGCGCAAAAAAAACCCCCATCCATTCATTTTACTTAAACAAGTAGCTGTTTTTATATGCATTAAAGCTATATCAACATTTAACAGTGCAAATGCAAATTCCTTGCTGAAAGTTTAACCAAAAAGCATTTCCAGTAGAAATGGGCTGACATATCCTGAGCATAACTATGTATAATATCCACTGAAGTTAAAAAGAGGTGCTTTGCAACATTATATTGCAGTGTGCCAAATAAAAAAGTCAAATACGTATTTCTCGGACCATAAGATGCACGAGATTATAAGGCACATTACGTGAAACAAAGCAGTCAGATAAATCAAACTTTATTCAACTCATTCTTCTTGCTTCCTCCACTTCTGTACCATTGATTCATTAATGCTGTATTCTATCACAGCTGCTCTATTCCCATGT